ATGATGATGATGATAGCGATGGTGGAGAGAATAGCATGTCTCAGAGACCCTACAACAGAGCGGAGGCTGCCGGTATCACCAGCCGTACATCTTTGTTCCGTCTTGTTCCCATCACCAACAACCAGCGTGCATGCCACGGGACACCAATACCACTCTATCCCTTCCTCTACACCTCGCTCCTTCACATTGGATTTCCCCATCCCATTTCTACACGTCTTCTCACAGCGTGGCCTCTTATTTATACTTTTAGTTCCCACCAACGTTGGCGCAACACGCCGCCTTGTCGCCATCTATCTAAAAGAGTGCACGCCTTCTCCATTTCTTACCCGTTTTGCTCCTCAATGCATTGCGTGCTTCTGTTGCTGCTACCGCCCACTCCACCGCCTCACACCAAACCGACAAAGAGACATTAGACGCCTGCACAAAATCAGATCTCCTTCGGCTCAAACAATTCGAACAGCTGACTACGGCAAACAGGGCATGTATTCACGGATGAGGCACAAAGCCGACACAGCACCTTGTGACGACACGGAAGCGAGATAACTGTCGGTACGTGATCCATACACACGACACAGTTCTCCTGCTTGCTGGAAACGGCCTCGCGCACATGCTCCAGGTACTCAATCATATCGCGCTCCGTAAGCCGCAGCTGTGAGACCTTCAGCTCGTTGATGTTAAGTGGGAATAGGACGCTGCGCTGGCTCATCTTGTTGATTACATCCTGCCGCACCTGGCGGCGTGTTGGCAGGTCATAATCCCGCTCCGGTGTTGCCAACTCAGGCGCAGCACCGGCCCCCGCCGACGCAGGCCGCGGTGACACGGTGCCGCGGAAGAGCGGGGGATGCTGTGCGCCACCGCCCGCACCTCCGAATATGTTGCTGTTGCTGTTGGCGTTCAGTGCAGTCGCAGTGCCCTGCCGCGAGAAGCGCGCCATGCCACCGCCGCCGCCATCACCACCGTTGCCAAACCCCGGATCGCCCCCCGCAAGTTCGCTGTACGCGGGGAACATGGTGCCCACATCGGGGGCCGTGCTGTTCCTATGATGACGCGCAGACAGGGCTCGCGGTGTCTCATGGACGCTCGGCGCCCGCACCGCGTGCACTTGACTCGGCCGCCGTGCTCGGTTCCCAGCGTGGCCATGCCGAGCTCTACCAACCACCGTACGGATGCGTTCAGCGATGCCGATGAGCTCCTGACACGTCGGTTTCGCTAAGCTCATTACCGGATCTCCAGCATCACCCATAATGTGAGACAAGCTTCCAGCGGAATGCCCCGACGGCATCATTTCTAACCAGTGCACAAACTCCGCCTCTGTCATTGTGGAGTTGCTGATGCTGTTTAGCTGATACCGCGTTCCATTGATAACTGCAAGAGAGACTGGTAGCGCCAACATCAGGTACTTATCAGTTCGGATGGCAGGGTTGGTGGAGAAGCCGCTGTACACGTCCCCAGTGGTAATGGCACCCACACGAGCTACGATATAGTCCTCGCGGTGGTCTTGCAGCTCTAATAGGACGCGAATGAATGCGCCGTGCAGGACGTTGTAGGCGCCATCCGACATGATGATATGGACTGCCTCATTGCGGGTCACTTGCGCCTGCTTCGCCGCCTGAAACAGCTGTTGCGTCTCTTCACTGAGCATGGCTCTGCGATGATAATACAAAGCAGGAAACTAATCAATAATGTTTGAGCACTTTCCTCCCCGTGCTTCTTCCCCCCGGGTCCTTTATTTTTCTTTTCTACCGCCTTGGATGGATGTATGGATGGATGCTTGCTCTGTAGAGCCAGGCCGATTCCGATGCGGGAGGAGTATCGGGGAGGTGGAGGAGGAATGCTAATGCTAGTAACAAAAAAGCAACAACAACAATAAACCCAAACGACAAGGAGCGTCTACCCTACACCTTCCTCTGTCCGTGCTTCTATTGTTATTATTAGTGTTCCTTTCTGCTAGCTGATGGGATTGTTGTGTCTTGGAGAAGGAACGATTTGTGCCCTCCTTTCGTCCTCTAGTTTTCTTCTTTGTTTTTGTGCTCACCTTCTCTTCGGCACAGACAACAAGGGCAAGTAAGACGAGACAACAGCAGCAGCTGTCATGATATTGCTGAAGGAAACAAAGAAAAAAAAAAGACTATGCTGGGATACCGGTGCATTGCGGCATCAACGCGACAAATACCTTTTACATACACACAAACTCACAAGCATATATGCGCGCATCTCCATTGATCCAAGAAACAGATCCCACGAATCCGCACAAAAAAAAAAACGTCTCCATACTCATAATAATACACTTTCTACATGCCACAAGAGAACAAAATACCAAACATGTCACATATAGATGGATACAGACAAATATGCTTCTACGGCTCAAGCCGCACCGCCAGCGCCCCCCATCCTGGATCCGCTACCGCAGCCTGTTTCACCAGCGAAGTTACGCACAACTTCGCGGGCCGCTGCAGTGGGTTGGGTGGAAGCCCCATTGTGTGTGGCGCAGTGCTTCGTGCCTGTACCGGGAGACGCGGGATAGGCAACCGTCGCGCAACAGCGTTGATCGCCGCCAGGTCCTCACCGCTCGGTCCAATCGTTGGCGGATTCAAGCACCCGTAAAAGCTACTCAGCTGACTCAGGCTGTGGCAGCTGGAGCTGTTGTCGTTAGCGACCACATCCAGCAGGTCAAGGTGCACCCCCTTTTGCTTTCGCGACTGACGTACAAGGGCTTGCACGCGCGGTGGCGTGATGCTGGCGATTGTGTTGGGCGTGCGCCACACTATCGACGACTGCGGCGTTGGTGGCGTGCCCGCCGAAACGTTGGGCCTCTCTTTATCGTCAACATCATCATCGCCATGATCATCTAAAGGACGATTGGCTGTGTCGCCGTCCCCACTTGACTGCACTACAGGGTCCGGTGTGCTGCTAGCTGTCGCCGTCGTTGTTGTTGCTGCTGCTGCTGCTGCCAGTGCAGTGGCCAGCATCCGTGCGTCCTTTACCGGCTGTGCTGAACTGACTCGCTGCGCCACTGTCATGGAGTAATCCGCCTCGCTTTGCCGCGCACACAGGCGACGTGTGGCAAAGCGATTCTGCAGGGCAAAGGCGTTGCGCGAGGGGTTTACCTTCTCCAACGCGAGAAAGTAAGAGGATGGGTATTTGAGCGACTGTACGGTGGAGCGCTGCGGGACGTACGAGGCGTCATACAGCAACGCCTCCATCTCCGCCATGGCTAGTCGCTGCTCTGCGTTTCTAGTCACCACCTTATCGGCGGCCGACCGGCCCAACGATGACGACGCCGCTGTTACCGGTGCTGCTGCTGCTGCTGGTATTGCTGTTGCCGGTGATGATGATGATGATGATAAGGTCAAGGAAGAAGTGGCTGATGCCGACATTGCAGACGCCGACACAGGCCGGAAGCCGTGGATCTGGTAGGTGTAGTTGCTGATTTCATCAACGACACCAGACCCAATGACACTCGCGTGGTATTCAGCGAGGAGAATATCAGACTCCTTAGTGGGCCGCGAAAGCCGCCGCTCAAACCGCTCCAGGAAAACCTGCTGCACGCCCATTACACTCCCAGGGCGGCACAGACGAATCCATCCAATGCTTTCTCGCGCAGTTAAGCCATAGTGCTGCATAATGTACACGCATATCAGCGTACCGGTTCGCCCCAGCCCAGCATGACAGTGAACTGAAACCGCGCCACCACCGCCCCCAGTTTTGGCCTTCTTCCTCGATGGATAGCTTAGCTGCTGCTGCGGCCTCTTATTCTTCTGCCACGGCGGCGGTGGTGGTGACGGCAGTATGGGCTCAACGGCCCGAAGGAAGCGGGCGACGACGTCATCATTCGGCGCGCTGCCGTCGGGGAACTCCATCTCAATATGCTGAATGCCGTTGGCAAGAAACGTTTCACGCTTATAAAGCGGCTCGTTCAGCCGCACCACGTGCGAAACCCGCAGCTCCTGAAAGAGCTTCGCGTAGAGCTCGACACACCGCTCAGGCCTGCCGCTCTTTGGGGACGAAAAGGCGAGAAATACGCCCGGCACAACCCAACTGCAGTCTTGACGCCGCAGCCTGTCGTACTCGTTGAGGTTGAATGTAAGCACATTGTACCAGCCCAGTGCAATAGCCTTCTCAAGACCCGAAATAACGTCCAGAAGTGCCAGTGGGAACGTCGACACACCGTAACTCGCATCCCTGAAGGGAATGATGGGTGGGTACGCCTGCTGGAATACACGCCAAGTCGCCGACGCCGACCAACGCAGCGTGGAGACGCAGAAGCAGGCAAGCAAACACGCCGCATTGGCGCGTTCATGATTGCTCAAGCTGCTGCAGAAGATAATCGGGAGCGGTGGGTCCTCATCGGCGTCGGTGTCGGTGAAGTGCGACCGTTGTGTTGCGGTCAAATCAGTGGAGGGGCGAGCGGAGCCCGCCCGCGGGCCGAACACCGCCGCGCCGCTTTCGTCTCTGCTCCATGCGTACGCAGCACAGCGCTCCAGCAGCCCCACCAACCGCCGCGACAGACGCGTCACACAGCTCAAATCCAACGGGCCAAAGTCGGCGAAGAAGGGCCGGTACTGGAACTCCCGGCTTTCACTGACGGAAAAGTAGAATGCATTATTCTCGAGAGCGCCGCCGCAATCCTTGTCATTGTCACTGTCCCGCAGCAGTCGCCGTCGCAGCAGCAGAGCCTGAGCGGCGTTGGATCGTGCGCGGCGAAGGGTTAGTGGCGATGAACGACCTTTTTGCGCATCGTCCATCTTCATCTTCTTGGGGTGCTGTGGCTTCTGGGGCTGCCGCTGCCTGTGCTGCCGCCGGGTCTGCGCAGCATGCATGGATGCCTCCAACGCCGCGGTGGCGGCGGCCACCTCAATGTTCTCCTCCTTCGGCATGCCCTGCGAGGCTGCCGATCCAGCGCGTGACGGAGCCATCGACGCAACGGCTTCACCGATCGTGGGCAGCTTCTCGCCTATTGAGGCGAAGTACAACACGCCAGGTATGATCTCCATCGCCTGTCGCGTCTCCAGCAGCTGTGGGAGTGGCTGCGGCATCTTGTTTTGTGGCTTGTGTCTCGCTCTCTCCTTCGCCCGCACTGCACGCTAACAAGAACAAGCGGGAAACCAAACACAAACCCCACCTCAAAAAACAGAAAAGGAAGACAAACAAATAAACACGTTTTACAGCTGCTCATTGCAACTGCTGCTGCTGTCGGTGTTCGTCCACTCTGCTGGTGGCATCTTTCTGCGTAGTTTTTTCTTTTTCTCTCTCTCTCTCTCTCTCTCTCTAGTCACTCATCGTTTTCAGCCTCCTCTTCATACACAGAGAATTCTCAGCAGTTCAGGTAGGACGGAATGCCCTCTTCTCCCTTCTCTCCGTGTGTCTCCAGAAGCACACGCACACGCACACACAGATATATACATACATGCATGCACACACGCCCCCCCACCCCCCACCCAAAGCGGCAACACTGCCAGCGGTGGCATCAGCACTATTATGCGCTCATTATCTGCACTCTGATACCGACGCCCATACAAACAACGCAGCCCCAAGCGGCAGAGTTTCAAAATAAGAAGCAGAAAAATAAAAGTGGAAGAGTGAACGAAAGAATTAAGTAATCTGTGTCCATTATTGAAAGAGTAACAGGACTCTGATGACAGAGCCGAGAAAACAACAACAACCACGAAGAACAAAAAAAAAATT